AAGGGTGCAGCTTGAGAGGAACCGTTAGATCTCCCACCACCACCACCACCTTCCCCCACCCGGCCGGCCGCCCGCTTCGTCGAGCGCTGCGGCCGCCCGGCGGCGGCGGAGCGGCTCCGCCTGAGCGGCAGGCAACCCATCAGACTGTCGTGTATTCTCTGAAACACCCGGTACTTAAAAGTACGGTGTTTACCGTACCTAGAAGTACAGCGTTTACCGTAACCATTGAAGTACGGTGTTTGCCGTACCTAGACGTAAATCGTTTACTGTACCTGGAAGTACGGCGATCACCTTCAATTGTACAATGCACTTGTCAAGAGGCAGTCATTTCTTGACATAAAAGTCAATTTAGACGATTTTGAAAATGTATTGAAACTCTTTGGAATTGAATTCAACGTGAGATCTTTTCATCTTTACGTTCAAAAAGCCGCTTTGAAATCGAAGGGGATGTTCTGTTATATTTCTAAGGGGTTTGAGTGAATTTTCAAAGTGGTCCAAATCAAGATCTTCTCACAGAAATGGATTTGCCTCGTCAAGACAAACAAAAAATGCCAACGCATGTCATAGGTTTGGATGAAAATGAAAAAACTATTCACCTATAAACTTAAAAATATGTTCAAAAAATGACCTTTTAGGTTCTTTTAAAGCTCATTAACGTTGTCATTTCCTTGACATTGTTTGTCTTGTCGAGACAAATCCATTTCTATAAGAATATCTTGATTTGGACCACTTTGAAAATTCACTCAAACCCCTTGGAAATAAACAAGACATCCCCTTGGATTTCAAGACGGCACTTTTACCGTGTTTGTACAAACAACGGGAATCGTCGTACTTCCAGGTACGGTAAACACCGTAAGGGAGTATGGGGCGATTTGTAACGGGCGATTCGTAACAAATGCGTTTATTAATTAAAGTGGAGGGAGCAGAGGAAAATCTGAGTATGGCCCCTCTTACGCTTCAAGTACAGGGTCCTTGAACAATCGATGCGGATGTGATCGGTGCTCAGGTATAGTTTTGGAGGGCGTCTGAAATAAAAGGTACACCGAAATTTCGGCAAACAGGCAAATCTTTTATTTTGAGTTCTAGGAAGTTTCTGTCTGAGGCTCCCCAGGTATGAATCACCATCGAAGTACCGTTGGGGCCTTGAAGCGTGACCCCTTTACAATGTAAACACGTGGCATAAGTTGCTTTTACTTTGTCCAGTGATAGTTAGGGACGGATTTCTTGCGTAACAGGCATTTGGGGTGATTCGTAACAGACCCGTATAAAAACAAGAATTGAAGTAGTTTTTGCTGTTTAATGCCTGAATTATTTCTCGAATCATCTGCTGTTTTATTCCAATACATTTTCAGAGCACGAAATGCATTTTAAATCAAGTTATTCTATGCTTTCCTCTAAAATAGAAAAAAGTGAGGTTAGGTTTGACATAGCTTATCAGTTAATGCTGAGGCGGTCAACGGCAGCTTGTAATGTAGATTTTTAGACGTCTGCAGGACACCCGAAGAACAACTGGTGGAGGAGATAACATTCCTGACGATGTTTCATTTAATGTGTAGGATGTTATGAAAAGCCCCATGGCTGTTACAAATCACCCCATGCTGGGGCGACTCGTAACAGCATGCAAGGGTTTGGAAAACGTCTTAGATTTCAAAGATTACGGACTCCAGATTGATCCAATGGAGCTGCACAGTCTAGATGAAGGTCCAGACTGCTCAACTGGCACAAGTTTGACACCGATATGCAGAATGTCCTTAATTTTGTATAGAGAATTCCGAAATCTGTTACAAATCGCCCCATACTCCCTTACTTCCAGGTACGGTAAACACCGTACTTCTTAGTACGCCAAATCCTGTTAATGAATTAACGGCGAATACCGTACATTTTTCTCACAGTGTACACAACATCCGTCCCCTCTTTTCCAACCAGCGGAATGGCCTATTGCCTATTACGGCCTGCTCTTGGGTTCTGTATGGTTACCGTTCATGGCTTACGTTTGGGGCCGGGCACTTTCGCGGGAAACCAGGGACGTGTTTCAAGAGTAACGCTTTTAAATCCTGCGCGACGTCGTCCATGACGAAACAAAAGTCCCCTATCGGCATGACCAGGTAGTGCTCTCTCCACCCCGACACCGTATCCCACTTGGAGAAGTCGAGAATGAGCTGTCAATTTAAAATAACGATCAGTAGAGCCTTTTAGTCACTGCCGAAGAAAGATCAAAAGACGCTGTCTATGTGGGAAAAACAGGGTTTTCGACAAAGGTTGTCCTAATCAAACCAAACTTCGTTTTTGAGTTCTCCTTGACCCAAAGACATGTCAAAAAAAATTTGAAATTTTTTCGACAAAAATTGTCGAAATAGGAATTATTTTTTTATTTTACTCAAAAGACGCGGCAATTGGTTTTGAAAAAAAAAATATTTTTTTTTCAAAGGTCAACTAAGGAGGAACATTTTGAGTTGTGTTCCATGTCCTGGTCTTGCTTAGTTTAATTGATACCCACCATTTTACGTTTCGTGTTTTCTTATTTTTACCTAAAATATAAAAAAAATGCCCCTTTGCCAGTCAATTTGATTATAACTAGAGTCAAACTGAAGATATTTTATCTTTGTGAACCTCCTTCCATGCCTAATACACCGCCTGGTTCCCCAAATAAACACAGTGTGTCTCAAAATACCATAACGGGTCATTTAACATTACATTTTTGGATAAAGAGCACCGTGTCTATTGCTGGAGCAGTAGAGCAGCCCAACTATTTGTCACTGAAACAAGATTATTATTTTTATCCACTTGTGAAGGTTAAAGATTAAAACGATTCGTCCCTCACAAGTGGATAAAAAATGATAATCTTGTTTCAGTGACAAATAGTTGGGCTTCTCTACACTCTAAATGTCTTACAATGAAATTTGACCTGTGTTATTCGAATGTTACAGTGAATTCGGCGCAAGCATAATACGAAGCAATATTCCTTCGTAATACGAATCTTTTTAGCTTTTTCATTGTAAGATACAAAGAAAAACCTTCGTAATACGAAGGAAAACCACCTTCGTATTATGCTTGCGCCATTTCCTTCGTAATATGGAAAATTTCTTCGTAAGACATTTAGAGTGTACTGCTCCAGCAATAGACACGGTGCTCGTTATTTCAAAATGTAATGTTAAATGACCCGTTATGGTATTTTGAGACACACTGTGTTTATTTGGGGAACCAGATAGTGTATTAGGCATGGAAGGAGGTTCACAAAGATAAAATATCTTCAGTTTGACTCTAGTTATAATCAAAATTGACTGGCAAAGGGGCATTTTTTTTATCTTTTAGGTAAAAATGAGAAAAACACGTAACGTAAAATGGTGGGTATCAATTAAACTAAGGAAGACCATGGGACACAACTCAGAATGTTCCTCCTTAGTTGACCTTTGAAAAAAAATTTTTTTTTCAAAATCAATTGCCGCGTCTTTTGAGTAAAATAAAAAAATAATTCCTATTTCGACAATTTTTGTCGAAAAAATTTCAAAATTTTTTTGACATGTCTTTGGGTCAAGGAGAACCCAAAAACGAAGTTTGGTTTGATTTGGACAACCTTTGTCGAAAACCCTGTTTTTCCCACATAGCGTCAAAAGCAAACAAAACCAGCAGCTGCGCGCTCCCTAAAGGCGGTCATAGATAAATTCCTAAAAGAACGTTACTTGTAGCTACACAGAAAATGGAGGCTTAGCACACTCTAAATGTCTTACGAAGAAATTTTCCATATTACGAAGGAAATGGCGCAAGCATAATACGAAGGTGGTTTTCCTTCG